TCAGAACATCCCAAATTTATGGGCTGACTGAATATCTGAAATAGAACAGGCCAAATTCTCTACCACGGAGGGTTGTTTGCTTTAGAAAAGGGTAATTTGTAGTTTGAAAAAGCAGAGAGGCAGAAGGGCATGGGATATTCATTCAAGTCTTCAAAAGGGAAGACTCACTTTTGGCAAGCATCACTTTTTTTCCGAAATCTGTTAGGCTTGAAAGCGATTTACACTCCCCCTCTCTACCATGTAACACTACAGAATCTTCAGATCAGAAAACTCGTATGGAAAAAAAGAAAGAAAACCCATAAATAAAAGCAATATACACCTTCACTCCAGACCTCTTAACATCATGTTTGCGTTGAAGTGTTTGTGGTCATGGCTTGCTTTGTGTGTTTAACCACTTGATGGTTCTCCTCCAGTTGTTCCCTTATTTGTCGGTTTCCCCTTTGGAATTTAGGCTCCAGTCCAAACATATTGCACCCAGTATGGTTTGCTGAATGAGAAGAAAAGGACCACCACTTCTCTTGTTCCGGATGATACAACCTGAGACCGCGCTAGATTTTTGTGAACCACATCGCACAACCAACTCACACTGAACTATAGTTAACTAGCATTCCTAATCCATTTTCTGAATTCTGAATCTCATGTCCCCCATTCTGCAACCAGGAGTGGGTCTTCTGTCCTCAAGGACAAGGCCTTACATATGTTTTGATAAAATTTCATTCTTAAATATTTGCTCCAACCTTTTAACTAAACTGAGATTTGTTTTGATCTTATGATTATCTAATCCAATAGAACAACTTTTTTTTTTAAACTTAATTTATTTACTTGAGAGAGAGAGAGAGAGAGCATACAAGCATGAGCGGTGGCTGTGGGGGAGGTGAGACAGAGGGACAGGGAGAGCAGTTAATACACAGGGCTCTATCCCAGACCCTGGAATCAGGACCTGAGCCAAAGGCAGATGCTTAACCCACTGGGCCACCCAGGCACCCCTAAACTTTCTGTCTTCTGTTACCATATTCAGCATCCCATCAATGGGTTTAATTACATGATCCACAAGTCCAAATGCCATCTTTTTTAGTAAAGTCGTCTCTCAGTACTCTATTTAAAATTGACCTATATTCTTTCTCTGCTTTTTTTTTCCCACTCCACAGCATGTATAATGATCTAATATGCCACATATTCTATCTATTCATTTTGTTTATTATCTTTTTCTTCCTTTAGGCTATAAGCTGCATTATGGTAGCAATTTTTGTCAGTTCTGTTTCCTGGTGGATCCCATGTTTGTTGTATGGATGTGGTTGAATACATTAATGTCCTTATCCGGGTCAGTAAGAATGTTGAACATTGACAAGACGAAGGCTAGAATCTAGTACATTCTATGAGAGGTTGCTCTCCATCTTCTTGTCACTTACAAATCCTCTTAATGATATTAGCATCCAGCCCAACCGTCTTCACTTTATTCAGAAGGATATTGAGAATTTGTTACTTTTTTTTTTTTTTTTTTTTGCTGAAAATTAGGTACTACATGTTGTTGGTAGCTCTCTCCTCTATTAATCTGGAAGTTCTTTCCAAAACAAGGAAGTGGGATTCATCTGACATAACTGATCACTTCCTCTTTCTAACTGCATATAAATCATCCTCTTGATTATCCATTTTAAACCTTGCACGGGAAGAACAGGACATTAATCAATGACCTGCCCAAACCCTGTGATTCCCTGGAAGAGAGCTCCTTCCCTGTGTGAGGTCCCTTCTGGTGAGCATGTGCTCGCTGGGAGCAGAAGCATTCAAGTGATGGAGGTAGCACCACCGAGCTGGAGGCTTAGGCTTAGATCCCATTTGTTATGTTGCACTGGAATATCACATCCTTTGTTTTCCTGAGTCCTGGATTTTGCAGTCTATCCAATAAAAATGGTAATATAATTTTCAAAAACATAGTATGCTACTTTATTGATTATGATTTATTTATAGCCTTTCAGTTTCATGTACAGTTGCTTCATGCAGATAGTAAAGATCTGAGGTTTTGGATATGTTTAGCTTATTTCTATTGCTCTTTGATCTAAAGGGTTTATATTTCTTTTCTCCATTTCCTTTTTTCCCATTTTTTGTGACACAGCTGTGGTTGAGGCCCTTGTCATCTCATCCCTGAGTTATCACAGTAGCTTTCTAATTGGCTCCAGGACTCCTGTCTCTGGCTTCTTCGTCTTAGATTCTTCAGTCAGGCTAATTTCCTGGAAACCAGATGCTCAAAATGTGTCTATGGAGCACAACATCAGCATCTCCCAGGAGCTCGCTAGAAATGCAGATTCTCAGGCACCACTCAAAACCTATTGAATGAGATACTGCATGTCAACAGGAACCTGTAGGTGATTCACACTCACATTGAAGTTCAAGAAGCACTAGCCTCTCTTCTGTTATGCCATTCTCCTACCAAGGGGTAGGAGTTCACATTGTATCTGTAAAGTTCACATTGAACCATCCCTAAACTATCTCTGTCAGAAAGGTTCCGTCTAATTTTCAGGGGAGATGTTTTTGACATGAAGATGCAAATGCCCACCTATACCATCTATTCATTGGTTCTGAGGATGACGAGCAAGTTTATCTAGAGAACTTTGGAACGATAGTAAAAATTATTGAGATTTAACTTGAGTTGAATCCTTCTGGTAAAAGTAAAGTATTTTTGTTTTTGATGAGTGAAAATCATGGGAAGCACTTGGGAAACATCCGCAATGAGTTGTTTAGAAATGTTTTTGTTAGTTTGACCCCGTGACAGGAGTTTTATGTATTTAATTTAATCCTCACGATAATCCCATTTAGGTAGGTGTTGTCATCCCCAGAAAATGGAGAATCCAAAAGATTAGGTTGTGCAGAGTCAGAGTATTGGTTAGAATTCAGGCTATGTATACCATAGTAGCAAAAACATTGGGAATTCAGCGATTCAGACAAGTGGCTCTATCTTGAGAGGACAGGTGACCCCAGGTGGGAAGCACAGATGCTTCTCCCATGTGGTTCATCATCTCCCAGGATGTCCACCTCCATGGGGTAGAAGCTGGTCCCTGCCTGCCCTTGGGAAGAGGGAAAGTGGAGAGCACATAATTATTTAATGAAAGCGTAAGTTTTCAAAATATTGGAAGTGCTACCTATCACTTATACTCATGGTCTATTAGTTAAAGCGTGATCACATGGCCACACCCAGTTGCAAAAGAGGCAAAGATATATTGAAACCTGGGGAGTTAATTAACTAAAAAGAAGAAAGGAGGGACGCCTGGGTGGCTCAGTTGGTTGGACGACTGCCTTCGGCTCAGGTCATGATCCTGGAGTCCTGGGATCGAGTCCCGCATCGGGCTCCCAGCCCACGGGGAGTCTGCTTCTCTCTCTGACCTTCTCCTTGCTCATGCTCTCTCTCACCGTCCCTCTCAAATAAATAAATAAAATCTTTAAAAAAATTTAAAAAAAAAAATAAAAAGAAGGGAGAGTGGCTATGAGGGCCTTGCCATAGGCACCAAGCTGATTAGTGGAAGAGCCAAGATTCAAACTCTATGACTACAACCCGTGATCTTTCCACCACATTATACCACCATTTCTCACAGTTGATAGTCAGTAAATGTTTGTTGAACTGTGATAAATTGAGATATTACATGTAAGCCTTTTGGTTATTTGAAAGTACTTCTTCCTTCTCTCTTGCCCCCTGATTACCTAAGTGGCTGTGTGCTAAACTGTCACTATCTTTGATGATGTTACTTTGTAAAGCAGGAAACTGATTTTCCTCCTCCTTCAAGAGAACTGTTATAATAAAATAATCCGCCAGTTCTGTGGTTCTGTGGAACCATATGAAGGATGGTAATAGTTGGTAATCATTTTTTTAATGACCAAATGACTATCCCCTTTCTTTTCTTTTTTTTTTTTAAAGATTTTATTTATTTATGTGAGGTAGAGTGAGAGAGAGCATGAGAGGAGAGAAGGTCAGAGGGAGAAGCAGACTCCCTGTGGAGCTGGGAGCCGCATGTGGGACTCGATTCCGGGATTCCAGGATCATGACCTGAGCCAAAGGCAGTTGCCCAACCAATTGAGCCACCCAGGTGCCCGACTATACCTTCTAAAATAGGTATTTTGTTAGGAGAATGCCACTGCTCAAAATATTTTTGATATTTTGTGTTGGCTGGTGTATCAGTCAACTATCGCTGCAATGATGGTTCATGACAACCACACCAAAGTCTCAGAGGCATACAGTAATAAGCATTTAACTAATGGTTACGTGGGTCTTCTGGAGGTCCGCTCTTTAGACTGCGCCTGGCTGGCCAGCACTGCTCCAGGTGTCTCTCAGCCTCCTTCTGAGAGAGCAGGTTAACGTGGACAGGTTTTTCTCTGGCAGCGGAAGCATATGAGCAAGTGAAGATATGGGAGGTTTCTTGAAGCCTAGGCAAAGAACCTATTAGGAGAGCCAGTTACATGGCCAAAACCATGGTCCAGGACCGTGGGAAACAGCCACACCTTAAGTAAGAGGAAATGTGGTCACGTGGCAAACAGTATGAATACAGACTTGGTGAAGAGTTGGGGCCAACAAAGCAAATGATCATAGCTTTGCTTTTATGGAGTTGTTTTGAATATTTATAATGAGGGTTAATCTTTGAGGGTAGCTTTGAATTTCTTTTTAGCAAAATACCTAAATTTATGAATAAGATTAGCAAATCAGTCTAGGTTTATCTTTGGGCAGAAAGGTAACTGTTTAAGCATGTGACTTAAAAATAATGAGACATTTCTAGAAGAACCGGCTCAAGAATATGACGTTCAGTGGCAGAATAGTTGGGATCAATGTATAGCTTTCCAAAATGACCAACTAATTGAAGGAATAACACTCATTTGGTTCTTAAATAATTTTTTAAAATAAACTTTATGGCTTGTAGTCACATGTTCCCACCTAGTCTTAAAATGGGAAGGGGAGGGAATAGAGGTTTATCTCCGATATCCCCTTTGACTAACCCTGAGAAAATATGCTTTATGTGCAGATTCTCATCGCCAAGTCCCCTCTGGCTCCCTTCACCTCATTTGCCTACACCATCGAGAAGGAAGGCCTGGTTCTTCAAGGTAAGATCCTTGGATTAAGCCATTTCTTTAAGCTGATTATGCTCAGGACTGCCTATCGCTGGTGATAATTACTATGCTCCTGATAGAAACTACTTCAGGACAGAATCAAAGGTCAAGATGAATTTGCCAATGATATTTATCCTAACGAGATAAAAGAGATTGGCAATTGTAACAAGAACTTAACCGAGGGTAGAGGTAGGGCTGGGGGAGAACTGCAGAATTTCCTGACAGAGTGCGACAAAGAATGAGAGGGTTAAAGCACCCCTCTAGGAGCTGCCAACCCCAAGACCTCTTCGCAGATCCTCTGGAGTAAGGAAGCAGGCGGTAGGCCTCTAACACCAGTGTGGAGGACCTGAAAAACCATCGGGTCTGGCTGCCTGTGGGGTTCTTAGTCATGGCTCCGCGAGCACTTCTTCCTTGGCCTCTTTCTGGTTACTCCATTTCTGGTCTCTTTACCCTAGTCCCAACTGGGGGCCAGGCCCTGCTGACCTGCTCTGGTGGCATGGGCCTGGGACTCAGAAGAAGTGGAGTTCTGACTCTTGGTAGAGTGTCCCCCGGCCACAACCTGGAACTCACTGATCTATTGGGTGGTTCCCGATGCTGGATCTTCTGGAGATTGCAGAAAATAATGACATGAGAGGCAAATTCAGACACCACCAAACTGAGCGCACAGGGCCAGATGTCCAAAGCTGCTTTCTAGGTTGAAAACAGTCTACACCAAAGGGCTCGGATGCACATCTGTCCCCCACTGTCAGGCAGGGGGCCCTCCCCACAGAATGCACCGTGAACATCTGGCCCGAACCCCAGGGGAGCATGCTGGCATTGCTGTGATGAGAGGAATAGCTGCCCTTTAGGATTTTGTAAGTTGAGTACTTTCCCCAGGTTTTTGAAACAGGGCGAGTCCTTACAATATTCCCATGAAGACACATTGCACTGCAAAGATGTAGCAGGAATTTTGTGGGGCAGGCCAGAGGGTTCATGCTGTGGGCTGAGGAGTAGGCTGCAGCCTTCCCTTTCCTTCCCCTTCTAAAACCTCCGCTTCTTAATGAACCCGGAAAGCAGCTTGTTTGTTTGGTGCAGCTGAGCCCCACAGCAGGGACTCAGGTCCAGGGAAACTTGGGGTAAGAACTACTGACCTTTGGCTCTTAGCCTTTGACTTATGCTATCCAAGTTCCTTGGTAAATATTTTTTTTACAATTGCAAATATTGTTTTCTGACAAAGAAGCAGAGATTTTAAGACCAGATTAAGCAAAGCAAACAGCAGGCCCCTTTGTTACATACTCTCTAAGGGTGTATAACTAATAAGCCATCAGAAAGCTGAACTTTATTTACCCAGGACACACTGTGGCTTTTGGCTCTTCATTTTCAGAGGCTTTTCTAAAAGATTAGCAATCGACTAAGTAGCAAATTTAGATGGAGATTTTAAGAAATTCTACGGAAGATTACAAGGCAATTTCAGGAAGCAAAGAAGCAGTTTTGCCCAGATGGCTTGTACTGAGAGCCTTGATACACTGCCTCTATCTTGATCACTGGGCCTTTTGGTAAACAGCATTTCTAAGCCTGACCTAATCTGGATAACTTTTTGGATAGTATTTGTGAGCACAAATTTCACAGAGTTGCCTCTCTGACACTCATTGGTAAGATCGTGATTTGGACAGGAAATAGGAATTACAGTGAGAAAGTGGAGGCTAGAAATAAAATGAATTGGTAGAGGTTAAATACCTGCAAAGATTATCAGAAAAAGCCAGAAAACAAAGAAGGTGGATTACTAAAGGAGGCTGCCCTATAGCTGTGTGTCCAGGAACGAGAAATTCAGGAAAGTGTCTGATGATGCAGGAACCCCAACCAGGAAATAAAAAAATGTCTGGGAGGCCACAGTGCCTCACCTGGAAGCTTTTTCTCAACCGCACTGCCCCAGCTACCCTTCCCACTGTAAGGTTTTCTGAGGCAGTGGAACCTTTCAGCCCCTAGCAGGAATGCCACGAATACAGACCTCTGGGCTCTCCCTCCCCAATAGCCTTGTGCTCCTAAGACTTTGGGAAAACAAAAAGGACCTCTGAGCCTGAGAGAAATGGAGATCCCTCCTTTAGTCGAGAGACCCCGTGGATTTCTGTTCCAAGCTCTGGTGTGATCTTGAGAAAAATCTCTGTCCGCCTAGTTTTGTCAGCATGAAAATGACAAGGTCAACCTTGATCCAGCACTTTGCAAACTGTGTTGCAACCCATTGGTGGGCATGAAATGAAATTCATGAGTCACAACCAGAATTTTTAAAAATGAAATAGAAGACAATAGAAAATAGCAGATGACGTCACACGTATTGCACTATTCCATGAAATGTCCCTTGTGTGACTGTGTGTGTGCGTTATGAGTTTGTGTATATGCAGTGCAAAGTGTTCTTACTTGGACTGTAGGTGACCTCTAAAGGCCTTAACCCTTCAGCTTATCTGATTCTCCTAGGCGATGTCATACTTCTCGTCACTTAGCTCAGGAGAGTTGTACCTGGAGATCTCCACACACCAGAATGTAAAAGCTTATCCCCCCACCCCTGCACTCTTACCAGATGACTAAGCTTAAAAAAACAAAGCAAAACAAAACAAACAAACAAAAAAACTCACCTGCACGAATTCCCCAGGTGTAATGCAAAGAAACCTTTGATTCCTGGGTGGTAACCTTGGAAAGATAACAAGCAGCCAAGGCCAAGAGGCTTTCCTTGTGTAGGGGGTTGCTCTGGCACCATAGCCCCAAGTTGGTATGGAGGTTGGTTGGTACCTACTGCTAGGGAATTGAGGGAGGGGGGCAGGCAATGCAATCCCTGTCTGAGGGGCAGAGAGTCAGAGAGGGGAAGGGCTGGAAGGGTGAGGGCAGCTCCTTCGATACCAATAAAAAAAGAGACTGCCAGCCCAGCCCCTTGGGGCTGGACAGTCAGTCTTTGTAATGGAGCCAGCCTAGAGTGGTGGGAAGAAACAATTCCTACAGGTTTCCCTTTTTTCAGGGGGTTAGTGAATGTGGGAATGATCCCTCAGTGCCTTTTATCCCCTTAGCAAGTCCAAGATTCCTATGGGCCTGCTGACCAGAAGGTTATAATACCTGAAGTGCTCCCGTGTGTATAAGCAGAGGGTGGGAATAAAAGGTGAGGCCAAAATTCGATTTCCCGGCTCCACAGGCCATTCCCCTCACCAGTTCTCAAGGATTAGGACGCTAAGAAGAGCCAGCAACTGGGGGCCTTAGACCCTTCCTGCCCCTTTGTTCCCTGGGATGGGAGGAACAATACATCCGCAGGCCAGAGAGACGGAGGGGCCTGGTTAGAGATTTCTCAGGCTGCTTTTTGAAATACTTGAAGGAGCCGGTCTGTGCTATTGTTGTCGTAAAATAGAAAGCGGAACTATTCTCCCTTTGCTAAAAGAAAAAAAAAAAAGAAAAGAAAGAGAAAGAAAGAAAAGAAAAAGTAAAAGAAAACCCACCCTCCCGGCATTTTCAGCACCGCCAGCTCAGGCCATTTCCATGGTAATGATGTACTGTTTGCGTCTTTGTCTGTCCTGCACTTGTTGAGGTCCTGGCTGGTGGTTGGGCTCAACACCCTGGAAATACTTGGCCCCAAAGGAGTGGAAGCCACCAGCTTCCTGATGGTTCAGACTCTGAGAGGGGCCAGGTCCCGGCAGAGGGAGAGACAGCCCTTCTGTGCAACTGAGGTGGGAAATGTGAGGGTGCAGGGGTGGCTCCCATAAATCCTTTTCTCCTTTTATCTCCAGAGTTCCCCCCATGAAAGACTCAGTGCCCACTGGGTAGAAAAGCTGAGTTTGGCTGGCTCAGAGTGAGGCTAAGGGGTGCGGGAACCTAGGGGAGAGGGAAAAGCAGAGCTGGCTTTGGGAATCGGCCTTAATGGGGTGGGCCCGCAAAACCCCATGGCGGCAGAAAGGAAGGGAGCATTTACAGTGAACTCCAACTTGACCCACATTCTGCTCTGGTCACGTTCTTTGTTTCCCCCAACAAGCCCCAAATGTTGTGCCCGGCAGAATACAGCTGGGACCTCTGGACCTCTGTGTCCAGGCCAGAAATAAAGATTAAGATTGTGTAATTGAAAACAGCCAGGTCGTGTTGCTGATGCTGTGGGAGGCCTCTGGAAAACCCAAGGCCAGGCTCTCCCAGAGCGGGCCTGGTCTTCATCCTGGCCTCATGGCAGTGGAGGCCGGTTGACTTGGTGAGGAAGCGGGGCTGGCCAGGGAGAGTCAGCAGATGCTCCTCCTTAATCACCTTCCTTTCCCCTACTCTCTCCATCGCCCTGGGTATCTAGGCAGCATTTGAAGAACAAAAGCCAGGTTGTTAAGGACAGAAGATAATGGCTTAGTTTCTTGGTAGGGTAGAGTGGTGGTTTTTAATGTTGTTTTTTAAAAAAATTAAAATTAGATATGACAGGTTGCATTTTGATTTGGGTGCTGTCCTCTGCTAGTTCAAGGCTAAATGAGCAGCGTAAACCTTGGGACGGGGTTGGGGAAGCTCAGGGGAGCCCAGGGCACCCTGAGAAGTGTCCAGAGAAGACTCTGCAGATGAAGCTAGTTTCCTGTTTTTCCAATCATCTAACATAGGGACTCGGAAGAAACCAGAAAACAAGGAAACAATGATTGTTCTTAAGAGCTGGACAGCTATCCACCTCATCTTTCTTGTAAAATCAAAAATGGTTGTTTGAGCACCTTTTGAAGCTCATTGGGAGAGGCATCAGTCTCCTCTATTTGTTCTCTTGTCACAAAGTTGGGTTAAATTCTTCCACCCCATTTTCTGAGTCACTGAGCCAACTGGGTGACTTATTGAAAAATTCTTTGCCCCCAAATACCGCCATCTAAGTTCATCAGATTTCAGTTGGAATTAGTAACCCATCTAAATGTTTTCTGCCTGGTGGACTCAAAGTGACCCAGAAGGTTTTTGATCCATTTCCATCCAGGGATGGAGGTCTGCTTGATCAATACAACCCACACACCTGGCATAGCCTGACATTCCTGTGGGAGCCTGGGCAGAGAGCCCTGGGATTCAGTGGAGCAGAGAAAGTGAGCTCCTCTCCCAGAGGTCACAGAGAAGAGGGCAGAACAGGTCTGTCACGTTGTCAGGTGCCCCTGCAGCCAGGTGCCAGGTGCCCCTGCAGCCTCAGAAAGCTGGGGCAGGCCAAGGCATTGTCCTCTGTGGCTCCTGCCTACCTCTCAGGGAGGAGCTTCCCAGGGAAGATGAGGAAGGATGCCCCTCTGCCAGTTCTCTCCCCCTTTTTGACATTTACTTCACATTCCCTCTCTCCATGACATCTCCTCACACCAGCCCTCTGCTTTGTTTACTTCTTTTACTCTGGCTATTAGTTTCAAAGAGAGATTTTGTTTTCAGTGTGGAAAAAAAAAATTAAATACAGAACAGCACAGAAACTGATAAAACCCATGACTTGAACACCCAGAATTAGCAAATGTTCAAATTTTGTTACATTTGCTTCAGATTTTTTTTTATTATTATAGGAATGAAATTTGACAAAAAAAAAAACAAAAAACTCCCAGTCCATCCCTTCCCTGCCTTGCACTCTTCCACAAAAGTAAAAACTCTCCTGGATTTGATATACATCCTCTCCTCATGCTGAAGAACTTTTCTACATGTATGTGAATCCACACATAATATAATGATTTGTTTTGAGTGTATTCCAAGTTTGCATAAATGGTGTATTGTACACATCATTCCACAACTCGCTTTTGTTACTTCATGTTGTGTTTTTGCAATTTATCCACTCTGATACACATAGACGACGTTCTTTCACTTTAATGAGGCATCCATGTTCATTGTATGAATGAACCACATTATCCATTCCCCCATTGATGGAAATTTCAATCATTTGTTAACTTAGTGAATTCTGTTGCACATGCCACTTGGTAGGCTGGTGTGAGTATTTTTCTGGTATATAGAAAAAGTGGGACGACTGGTCAGAGGGATGCATGTTCTAATCTTTCCATATATTCCCAAGTTGCTTTCCAAGGATGTTTACCAACTTAAACTTCCTCTGGTTGTAGTGGACCATTTCTACACAGCTGTGTGTAATTCTGAGTTTGTTGTCATGTTTCCATGGTCAGTCTTCTTTGTATTCTTTATGGATGCCTCTTATCTCTGCCATTGGGGTATAATCCTTCCATAGTTTCTAGAGGGATCTTCTGCACAACACATGTGCTTTATGCATATACTTATGATTGGTTGACAAAAATTACCTTAATTCCTCCCAAAGATAGCTATATACACTTCTAAGAATGAGAGATTTTAGTTTTGTCCATCACCCTTATTTTCAGGTCAGCAGACTGAGTTCCAGAAAGGCAAAGTGGTGTTCACTGCCTCCAAATTATGTTTGTAGCCCTTTTTAGGTACTTAGAACTCCTAAGATTTTACTAAAGCAGAAATGGGTTTGGCCTCTCATCTTCCATCACAGAAGCCCCTCTGGTAACTTACCTCTCAGATTTCATGAGCCTCTGTTAGGAATACTCCAGTCCTGTCCTGGACCCTAAGCTAAGATGGATCAGTCACACTAATGTAAGCAATCCCTCAAAGAAGTTCTTGAGTTGGGTTGTAAGTTCAGCTGGATGGAATCACAATCTGAGTTAACAGTGGAATACAGAGTAGAGATTTACTGCTTCCTCACATAGCATTACAGAGGAATACAGTCCAGAGTTAGAAACAGCAGCTCATCCCACATGTTTGTCTAAGGACCCAGGCTCTTAGCTTGTTGCCCCATCACACCTAGGATGTTGCCCTTGTTATCATAGTCCACAATGGCTCAGCATCATGACCTCCATCCAGAATATGTAGCAGAATTTGTATGGAGTAGAGAATGATGGTGAGAAGAAAGGGCATCCTCCTTCTTTTAGGGATATTAATTGGAAGTTACACACATTATTTCTGCTTATATCATGTTGGCCAATCTGTAGATGTATGGAAAGAAAGACTGAGAAATGCAGTTGTTTATCTGGGTGTCCATATTCCCAGCTAAATTTTGGGAGTTCTTTTACCATGAGAGAGAAGGGGGGATGAACATTCAGGGATACATCCTTTTCAGAGGAGCCCAGCTGCAGAGATTAGACCCCAGGGTGCAATAGTACAGACCCTAGGGTTGGGCTTATAGCATAATGTTGAAATGCAACATAAATATTGTGTTGTAAATATTGTGTGTTAAAAATACTATCAGGACCCTCTTTGGAGAATCCAGAGCAGAGAAGTAGGGTATCACAATCAGTAACGCCACCAAGGATCAACACCAAAAATCTTGGTCCCGCACCTATAACAGAATCTCTCACAAGCAGAAACTTTAGTATGTGTTTTGATATTATATACTATGCAAGAAAGATGCTTGAACAAGAGCTACTTGTGCTTATAGCACAAAGCTGGGTATGAATTTGGGTCCAAAGTCATAGACTAAACACGTTTTCCCCAAAAAAATGTTTTTTGCTGTCTCCACATTTTTTTTACACATGGAACAAAATGTCAGTTGGAATAAGGTTATAGAAAAAAACTTTATTCCAAGGCCTGGACTATAGTTAGACTGGGTCCACACTCTTTTAGCACCTGAAAGCCATTTGGCTATCTTTGCAGAGCTAACAATTTGCATTTGTGAAAATGCCCAGATAACGATACTAAAAGATGTTAAATCAATTCAGGTTGTTGATTTTCTTTGATTACTTCTTCCAAAAGGACTTGGTGTTCTTTCTGGAATATGACTTAAGCTCCATTTCAGTGAGTTCAGTTCAGTGGGTATTTGTTGAGGTGTCATTGTTTGTAAACCACAGTGCTCAGGGGATGTAAGCCTGGGCCGGGGGGTGGGGGTGGGGGGGCTGGAATGGTCCTTCTCTCTTAACTCAAAATCTAACTAGCTCAAAAACAAAATAAGTTTAATCAAAGGCAAACTGTGACACCTATTATTGAGGTTCAAATAATGTTATATGGATAAAGGAAATAGAATCAATCCAAATGGATGACTGAGGAAGGTTCCTGAGAGTAGGGGATGGGGGCAGGGGGATTGAATTGGACGTCAGCCCCTGAATACCGATGAAAATGGCATTCCATTGTCTCTTGATAGAGGCCAGTTTCTTCCCCTGTTTGAGGATAGATTTGGGAACCCTGGGGAATGCTGATTAGTGCCATGTGACTAGTGTTGAATCATGCTGACTAATGTGTTCTAATGGATTGATTCAATAATAAAGGGAATGTTGAGAGTCAAGAGTTCAGATCCTGAATTTCACCATGTGATGAAATGTAAATCCCTTAGCCTCAGTACTTCATTTTTTGGTCAATTAAAATGTGCTTTTGATGAGAATGTAACAAGTCACCTTGACTAGAAAGTGTTTTCCAAACCTCAGGGATAACAGAAATGCTTAACAACAACTCCCAGGATAGGCTTGTGCAACCACGGGTTATTCATCGTGCACTGAGAATCGGAACATCCATCACGTGCTGCTCCCCAGCCATTCGAAACTTCTACTTCCTCGCACATGCCCCAAGAGCTGACAAACAGTACTCTGCCCTCACAAAAACTGACAAATAGAGGAGCTTTTGAAAAATCTTCCTATCTACCTACTGGGGTGGCTATGTTTTTCTCCCACAAATGTCACCACAGAACTAAGAGCTTGCACTACACACACAGCTTTTTCTCTTTTGACATGTACCCAGCTAGACTGCTTGAGAACCTGGCCTTCCGTGTCCAGATGTTTACTGAATTCTGAAGGCCCCCCAAAGGGCCCAAGTTCTTTTGTTGCCCTCCAAATCACTTCCCACAGAGACTGACCGATGTCCTGAAGGAGCCCTTCAATAGGGAGGATAAATGGAGGCAGATGAAGACATGACCCCCTGAGGCTTGCCCACGTCCATGCTAACAAAGGGTCTGAGGCACAACCTTGTAAGGAGCATTTTGGTCAGCAGCGTCCCTTCAAGAGGCCACGTCTCCCCCACAGGGCTGCTTTCAATGGCTACCATCACAGTGGAAGTACTGGGCATTTGTTAAGGGCCGAGGTTTGCTAGGTGCAGCACAAAACATCTAAATCATGGTCCCCTGTCTTTGTGAGGACTTCCTGGCTACAGATGGCAGCTGGCTTTCTCAGGGGAAACCTGGAGCTAGTGGAGGAAGCCAAAGAGGGGCTCCCACTTCTCTGGATGACCTCTTCCCACCCAGCCCGGAAAAGGCTTTTGTCTGCAGCTCTCAGCAGTCAAGCCATGACTGCGAGAATTTACCCCACACCTAAGCTGTGTTTCTGGGGGTCTCTGCTTTCTGAGGCTGTTGGCTCCCTAGGTAACAGGAAGGTATGCATGTATGTAAGGGGACTACAGCTGGAAGGAAAGTTTTATTTAGACTATTAGTGAGAGGTTAGTGTATTTCATGGTAACACTTCTTTTTTTCCAAACATATTTTCTCTCCCTTTTTTTTTTTTTAAACTCCTTTAGGCCAACAGAGGCCACAGGGACACACTATGACCGTTGTCTAGAGCTGCTGGGCACACGATTTGTGAAATGAAACAGGATGGTGCTGCTTGGAAGAAGGAAACGGAAGCCAACATAATGGGGATTAATTAGTTGATTGATGTTGAGATGGTAACAGATTTGCCTCCATACCATTGAGCCAGCCATCTCAGACATAGCAGGGAAGGTGAGGATGAAGAAGCCTTTGTTCAGGTCTGTAGATGCATGGGGCTGAAGGCTTTGCCGCCATTGGATGTCAACAGCCATAATAATAATAATTTGCACTTACATAGCACCTTTCAACCAGGCACCTCAAAGCGGTTCAGCCACGTTAATTAATTAAAGCCCACAATCCCCCTGGGGAGAGGAGGAGGATGACTAACAGGATTTGTAATTACAGGAGGGAACATTTCCGAATAAAGTATTGTCCACCATATAAAGAGAGTGGGTGTAAAGGAATTGGGGTCTCCAAAGAGTTACTGATTCAGAAATTAAATCATGGAAAGATGGGGAGGCTGGGGGCGGGCATGGGTGTGGAGGTCTGCTCTTGTGTCAGAGGGAGGTCGATGGGCTCAGAATTCGCTGACAGGTTCGGATCCAACTGAGAAGCAGGACATGTCTGGTATTAGTGGCATTTGGAAGGTCATTAGTGGCATGACTATTGTGGTGTAAATTCAAGTTTCACTAGTATATTGTGTACAGCCCCTGCAGGACAAAGAGTGAGATTCATGCAGTATTTAATAAAGGATGAAATGATTTCTTTAGATTTAAAGCCCAAAGCTGGGCCAGTCAATTAGCAAATAAACCAACTGGTGACCCATAGGGTAATTTAGTTGTTTCCAGCAGAACACCCAGCCGACACCCTCCTACTGCCATGAAGTTTCCAACCAAAGCCTCAAGACTGGGTTCAGTGCAAGGCCTGGGGGCTTCAGCTCCTTCAAAGGCAGGCATCAGATCTTCCCGGCCTTTGGTATGGGGGACCTCTCTAACCCAAGTTGTTAGTGTCCCCCAAGCTGTCCTCTCTAGAATCGCTTTGGAGCCGCTCCCCCTCCAGAGGTTTTTAAATGCTTTGGAGGCTACTGTCAGGTCTTACCCTAGCTCGTGTTTCCCATCAGTGCCCCGCAGAACGCTGTGCACAAAGTAGGTACGGATTAGTGAAGAGTGAGTGAATGACTCAGTGTTTTAATAACTCAGTATTTGTTGAGCCCTCAACCAGATGCTGCGGTGCAGCTCACAAGAACGGGATATGTGTCCCGTCCTCAAGAACTATATTGTGAGAAATGGAAAAGACCATATACCACTAACTATAATGTAAAACAGAATAAAATAAAATGATATGATAGATGTTCATCCAAGCCGCACACTGCAAGGGCAAGACTAGGAACATTTTATCCAGCTGGAGCGAATCAGGGAAGGTATTCCTGGAGAGCAAACCATGTGCTGGGCATTGGAAGGCAGGGAGGGTTTTGGTAGACCTGGAAGAGGTCGGGGAGGCAGACTTTCCAGACTGTGGTCATTTGTCTCCCTTGAAGCGAGATGCATTTTGGGAACTTGTGGTCTTCAATAGAACATTTGTGAAAACCAAGCCGAGTTTTTGCGGCTGATTAAATGTACATTTCCTATGAGTTCTTACTACATGAATTGACTAATTACAAACATCGAGGGACTATTTGAGAAGTTGCGAAAGATGTTTTATTCTCTGTAACTCTTAATTCGGTCTCTCTCCGCTTTCGCTGCCCACCAGGACAGAAAAGCTCAACAGTTCACACATTAAAACAGGGCACTCAGCAGTGTCTGAGAGAGGTACGAGGAAGTTGTCTAACCATCCCAAATGGCAAGGATTAGATGTCTTCCTCCTTGAGCCTATTTTTTGGACCCCAGGAAACCCTAAGATGGTGCTCTACACCCAGTGACTGACGAATCAGTCCCACGCTCTCCCGCTCCAAGTTTCAACAGGGCTTTTCACCGCACACCACGCTGCCAGGACAGGACCTACGTGCCATTTTTGCATCTTGCCAGTATTTATTAAGTGTTGCTGCATGTCTGACACGCACTATATATGCATAAGCTTACCTGATCCTAACAATCTCACAAAGTAGGACTTCATATCATTCCTCCCGCGCAGATGAGGAATGAGGCAAAAGTTCACTCTCTTGCTAGAAAGTGACGGAAGGTGGATTCGAACCCACTCAGTCATGCTTCTTCCTCTCTCACCCCTCACCCATGTAGTACTTCTGTTCACATCTGTGACAACTTCTTGTCATCTTCAGTTCACTAAAGTACTCAGTGCCGTACTGTGCACAGAATAGGAACTCCGTGAGTATTTTCCGAAGAATCACCAACAGCAACACCAATGGTTTGATCTTCCCCTGGGAGGAGAGGCTGCAGAAAACCTGCGCAGCGTGCTGAGAATTTAGTAGAGACCCATTACTACTTCCTTCCCTTTCCACCATGATGAAAGATTAGGAGACGTGCTCAGGAAAGTTGCCCCAGGAAACGTTCACAAGAAAGAAGACACAGGTGGTTTTCATGAGCTGAGAAGCGGCCAATCTGGTACCTCTCATGAGAGGTAGTGAGGTATCTTGTATTGACCTTGGATGCTACTCACTGATTTTTTTTTTCTATCTGTGTGTGTACATATACATTTACATGTCAAAGTCCAAATTTGTTTCCCTAATTGTGCTGACCTCCGAGCTACTCTGTCGATGTGCAGCAATCCTAGTGAGGATTCAGAAGTGGTCCCTGTCAGCCCACAGAGTAAACATTTCTGGACTAACCCAGAAGTGCTGACTCCTATGCATTGGGTCTTGTATGTTGTAAGCAAGGTTACTGCTTAGGGACAGGATTTTTTTTTTAATTTAATTTTTAAAATGTATTTATTTGACAGACAGAGATCACAAGTAGGTGGGGGGGGGAAGCAGGCTCCCTGCTGAGCAGAGAGCCCAATGTGGGGCTCGATCCCAGGACCCTGAGATCATGACCTGAGCCAAAGGCAGAGGCTTTAACCCACAGTGCCACCCAGGCGCCCCTCAGGGACAGGATTTAAAAGATGATCTGGCAAAACTGGGAGAGCCAAATGAGAACTCTGGAGATGGAAAATGGGGATTAGGTAAGGAGGAAATGGGGAATGAAGGCAAGAGCAAGTACAAAATATCAGATTCTGACCTTAAAAGTGTGATCTTAGATCCCCTTGGGAGTGTCTTTTTTTTTTTTTTTTTTTTTGAGCTTTGGTTTCAATATTGTCACCATCACTTTCGTCCTAGGGCTATGAACGTGTTTTCTTTATTCTACTACAGAATTCAACAGAGGCCTCTTTTGCTCAAATGGAAGGAGGGAGCCCATCACAATCCTCAAAAAAATATCCTAATTGTGAGAGAAAGCACATTGTCAACCTCTCTGAATTTCAGTAACCACAGTGTTCAGATGGAGCCCACGTTCTCCAGAAACTCCAAAGAGATCTGGGAAGAGATTAGACCAATCAATACTGGGCATAAATCAGGATGGACTTGGTTTTGCTGCCTAAACAAACAGGCCCCCAAATCTTGGTGACTTAAAGTCTGTGTGTCTGAGAGACTCTCCCGGGATGCTGTCCTCCATATGACGACTTGGTATTCCATTTCAGTATCATCATGTACTTCTACAACTGCCACAGTAGGGGAAGAGAGAGAAAGACTGTACACTGGCAATTAAGTGCTTTCCCCAAGAATTGACACATATCACTTCTGCTGTCATGGCCAAGCAGTCATGCATCCACACCCAGCTCCAAGGAGGTGGGAAACACAAACCTCCCCTGTATTTGGAAGGGAAGGAGAACTAGATATTAGTGAGCACTTGTGATGTCTGCCACATAATGCTGTAGCCAGTGAGCTGGCACATATCTCCTTCTTTCACACTCATCCCTTGCATATACCTTTCCTTGGATCACCCAGTATACACCAAAGACTTATGGGCTAGTGTTGGGGAAAGAAGACCAAATAGTTTTTTTAGCCCATTTTTAGTCTATAAGCAACCATTTTAAAAGAGAGGAATAGCCACAGAAAACCACTTAACTCTGGGTACTTTTCCCTTGGAGCTATCAGACACTAGTAACCATAGGAAAGGATAAGGGGTTAAAGGGAGCCATGGCCTGATTTCAGTAATACATCTAAGATGGAACAACTAATTTTGAGTTGCCCATAACCATCATGCTTTGTACGAAAGGGCTTCTGGAAACATGCCCTTTCTCCTCCATTCCTCCCCTTATTACCAGACATGATTCAAATTCCCTCTAAGCCCTGTGACTTTTCCAGAAAGCAGCTCTCCCAGCAGAGAGAGAGAGAGAGAGGAGAGGAGGGGGGAAAAAAAACTTTCCCTTATTATTCTTCCAATAATGAATTCCTGCTCTGAGTGGGCTGTTTCCATGTGTTTTCAGTCAAGTGCTGATGGCAGCCTTGCCGGGGGACATTTCCAACAGGCTGTGGACATAATAGATGAGGTCTCATATTGACAAGAGCTGCTCTCAGTTTTCCTTCCAGTTTAGCCCTCCTAAGCCCTGAAATTGGAGATGAGAAATGATTCACGAGATCCCACTGGTGAACCAACATGGCTGCCACACCTCTTTCTCCTTTTAACTAGGTAAAAAGTCATGGTTTCAAAGCTTTCCTCTAAGAGATTTGTAGACCTGGATCTTAGTAACTTAAAAAGGACTTAGCTTTCTAAGACCAGCCCACTTTTTGTAGATGCCAAGACTTCCTTTCTTCAGGACTCAAACATAGTCTTGGCCTACCCTGATACCATAAGAACAAAGGGAGAATTTAGGACACACTATTTCCTGTCTAAAACCTGATCTCAAATACACAAGATGCTTCCAAGTAAGCAGTGGCAGTAGCCATGTTTGCTAAGGGAATCAGCCTGCTCATTCTCCCCAAAGCAATGTCTTCAGATAATTCCATGTCAGCTTACCTTCACGGAACTGCTACAAATTATTAGTTATAGTTAGGCTTTCTTCATTGAGAAGAGTCTCAGTTACTTCAGGTAAAAAAGAATAGGTATTTTTAAGGGTATAAGTAGCCTGGAATTGGAAAGCCTTTAGGAGAAGAGGCAGCCCTGGGGATTTATTACCTCAGAGGCTCTGAGTCTCTGCTTCCCTCTGTATTTCTACCTGAAGCACTCAGGTCCCAGCAGACATGCCCTATAGAAAGCGGATCCTGCCTACTTAAAACTTCAGCTTGCATGTGGCCCATCCTGGGGTCTTGAGCTCCTCCTTATATACCTCAGCCTTTCAACTTCAGTTCCCATTGGCTTCTTTCCTTGGTATTCTTAGTTAAAATTCCTAAAAGACAATCTCATTGGCTCAGGCTCATCTTACTGTTCTGTCTCAGAGAACATCATTGGTCACTAGCCAGCCAGTCAGCTGTGGGCTGAGGGATGAGCTGCAAGCATGTCTGCCCAAGTTGCAGAAGGTGGGGCAAGGCAGCTTCCTTCAGAGGGTCTGTGAGGGGCTGAGGACGTGATGGAACTTAGTGGGCTCTTTGAACCCTTACTGGGATCGCCACAGATACTCATTCTCTCTTGCTTCTTCGTCCCCCCATCTCATCACTGTAGGCCTGCTCTCCAGGCACAGCCCGGGCTCCTATCACTGCTCACCCACCAACTCCTGATCCAGCATCCTGCCTCTCACCCTGTTGAAGTGTGCGATCACAGAGATATAGGACTAGCAAGTGGGGAGGAAGAGCTCTTAAAATGTATTTGAGAATATAAGGAAGATTGGAGAAAGGCATGGAAGGAGGGATGGAAATAAATCCTTTCTCAGCCAAAAAAAAATCCCATTCCCACCATGGGATTCAGGTATCTTTCCTCTTTCTCTTGATCTTTGGAACAGTTTCCCTTTCCCCAAAAATCAAACATCAGCAGAAGCATGAGAAACTTCCATCAAGGGACCCAGATGGAGCAGAGCAGGAAGATAGTCTGGCTCTGCTAATCCCCTAGAGCTTTTTCTGACCCCTGCAAGGATCCCTAGTTCCCGTCTAAGACTTCTGCATTTCCCCAGGCCCCCACCCTCAGGCCTCATGGAGCCCTGGTCCCAGAGTCTTGAATATTCAGTCCCAAGCAATTTACTTTCAAAATATGGTTTAGAACACAAGTGAAGGAGTCTGTGTAGATAAGGTCTTTGCCAGTCGTGTTCTCCCAGTATGCCCAAAGCTCTTCACTGGCAGTTTTCACAAATCTCCCTGATATTTTTAGAGGACTGGTCGTGTGTGGCGTTGCCCTGTTTCATCTGAGTTAGAGAAATGATGCATTGTGTGAATTCACACATCAAGGAAAGGACTGGGAGAGAACTGAATTACGACACTGGGCTTAGCCTTTTACTCAATAGAGACCATTGCCTTTATACCATATCAGCTGGTTAAAAGGCCAACCCCAGACACCTACATTCAAATGTCAGCATCTCTGTATTCTTTTCAGCGGCTGTGAGGCTAGAAGTGAATTAGAGGCAAGTCTAAACAGCCCTGGATTTCCCTGCCCTTTCCTAAGCTCTGGGTATGTCAGTGTTGATTAAATCATTCGTCAAACCTTGTTCCAGCTTTTATCTACCGACCAAAAGTGCAGTTTCCCTAGGAGCCTATGATAATGGGGGGGAAGGTCGCTCCGATGGTGTTTCTAAACCTGCTGCTCTGGGATTCTAGAGCCAGTTCCTCTGGATGATATCCAGATTTCTGCTCATTCCATTTAGGATCTGAGGTTGAAATCTATTGCCGTTGTCTGTCCCCTGGGATCTGAAAACCCATCTGGGGT